AAACCAAGGTGTGTGCAGAGCCGTGCTCCCTGTGGCGGCTCCAGGGAAGAATCTGTGTGCTTGACTCTTCTAGTGTCCAGGAGTCGCCTGCATTCCTTGTCTCGTCGGCCCTTTCATCGTCCCCAAAGCCAGCAGCGTAGCATCTTCTAATCTGTCTTCTCTGACCGCGTTGCCTGCCCTTGCCATCACGTCTTCTCGGATTTAGACCTCTTCTGCCTCTCTCATCCCTTAGGATTACCGTGGGCCCACTCCAGTAATCCAGAATAACCTCCCCATCTCAAAATCCTTATTTTAATCACATCGTCTCATTCCTTTTGTCATGTACGGTACCTATTCCCAGAGCTACACCAGTCAGGGCCGTGCCAGGTACTGTTTTAAGCGCTTATCATGTAATTGAGCCATAAGCCAGCTATAGTCTCAGAGCCCCTGGCATGGTGAAGGATTAACAACAGAACCAGGATGGTCAGTGGTTATGCACTTGAATAAAAAACTCCCAAGCAGTCAGGGTTTGGAGAGGGCCATAGGACGCAGGGGTCGTGGAGAGGCCACGTGGCTATGTGTGACTTATCAGAGGCATTTCTAGGTGGCGTTTGCGCTGAGTTCAGAGGAGACAGTGCTTGCTTGAGTCTGCCATGGTAAGAAAAGACTTGCTGAGGAAATGGCATTCCAGTTAGGGTTTGAAGTCTGGGGAAAGGCTTGACTGGGTGTGCAGAGGAGCAGGTGCCTGGGAAACTGATGGCATGTTTGGGCACGAGTAAAGTACGGCTGGGGGAGGGGGAGGGGGCCAGTGCTGGATGGCTGTAAATGCCAGATTTAGGTGTTCTTTTGTCAGGTTTTATTGAAAATCAGAATGAACCGTTTACTGAGCTGTTTATAGATAAGGCAGTGGGGGTTGGGGAGAAGTTTAGTAAGTCCAAGAAACATACTGAGCGTCTGTTATATATCAGAGTTTATGCGAGATGGCTTTGCATATACATTTTACCAGATTGTTGAGGGGATTAAATAACATGAAGTCAGAATTGGTGTTCCCATTTCACAGATGAATAAAGTGAAGTTTAGAGAGATTGTTCATCTTGTCTAGGTCACCCAGGTAGGAAGTGGCAGAGCCAGAATTCAAACCCAGGCCTTCAGACCTGGGCGGCATGAGTGATCAGCAGTGCCTGTTCCTGAAAGACTGTCAAGGAGAACAGAGCCTGAGAAATTAGTGGACCTGGAGCTTAGGAGGCCTTTGGTAACATTTGAAGATACAGATTCCTCGAAGAGAACTGGACCATTCTAGCTGTGTCTTTGGAGCACTCAGAGAGCAGAAAACCCAGTCACGCAGGCTGAACGGGAACCTAGAACCTGGAGGTCCAGGCACAGCAGTGTCAGAGCCACGTGCAGGGAGGGCCGTAGACTCACGGTGACAGCAGAGACTTGGAAGGAACAGCTAAATGCAGGCGCGCTCGACCTTTCTGATGTCAAAGGTTTGATCTGTGATATTTGTACTACATTCTTTTAGGAAACATTGCTTAGTATAGTTGCTGATTCTTGAGGGATTAGAGCTCCTTTGGAAAGCTGCATAGTTTTCCTTCCTCCTCCCTCCCATTGGTGTGAGGCTCCACGTCTCTGATAAGGGACCTGTCATTGCCAGCGTCTGTTCTTTCCCTGCTTGTATCTTGTAAGCCCTCATCTCAACTTCCTGCTATTCCAGTGAAGTGGAACTGTCACTTGACAGGCTTGTGTCTGCTAGTCTGTGGTTGGCAGTGGAAGGACCCATGGAATAACAGCAGTAATGGAGGAGCTGAGACCCAGACATAGACCTTTGAGGGAAATATTGTCAGTATTCTCCCTCTGTCCTCGCTTTATCCTTTGATTGTATCAGTGAAGGAAACCCAAAATCTGCTATCAGTGCAGTCAAGAATCAGTGCAGGATTCAGCCACCATTCTCACCAAAAACACTTCTAGTCTAATGACATGCAATGTCCACAATTATTAGGACCGTTTAAAAAAAAAAAGATTTTATTTATTTTTAGAGAGAGGGAAGGGAGGAAAAGAAACATCGATGCAAGAGAGAGAAACAGTGATTGGATGTGCCTCATCCGAGGACCAACTCTGCAGCCCAGGCCTGTGCCGTGACTTGGCGACCTTTCACTGTGTGGGATGGGTGACACCCAACCAACTGAGCCACACTGGTCAGGGCTATTAGAGACATTTTTGAAAAAGAGTTTCTGCGTGTTCTTCCCAGTTCTTGTACTGGTTGACAGAATTGACTTATTTCATAAATTAAGAGCAAACTCATTGGCCAGTAGAACTTGAAATGATGTGACACTGTTCTTACTAATCCTTTTCAGTGTGAATAATCATACATTTGCTGCAGAAATATTAATGAGTTTAATTACACGATGCTGCCTAAAATCCTGATGGGGTTGTTTCATAATATATGATGCAACCTCATATTTCCTTTTTTTTTTTAATGGCAGCGAACAAGCACTTCATTTTTTAGTTGTATTTTTTAATGATATTTTTTCCCATTATCATTTAGTCCCCGTACACTCCCCCGCAATCACCACACTGCTGTCCATGTCCACGAGTCCTTTTTCCTTTTTGCTCTATCACTCTGCCCTCTAAACACACCCCCGTCTTAGCTGTCATCCTGCTCTCTCTGAGTCTGTCTCTGTTTTGCTTGTTAGTTCAGTTCAAGAGTGAAATCATATGGTACTTGTCTTTCTCTGGCTGTTTCTTTTCACTTAGCATAATGTTCTCCAGGTCCATCCATACTGTTGCAAAGGGTAAAAATTTTTTCTTTTTTTACGGCCAAGTAGTATTCCAATGTGTAAATGTCCCATAGTTGTTTTATCTACTCATCTACTGATGAACACCTGGGCTGCTTCCATATCTTGACGATTGTAAATAACACTGCAAAGAACATAGGGATGCTTATGTTCTTTAGAATTAGTGTTTTGGGTTCCTTTGGATATATTCCCAGAAGTCAGACTGCTGGGTCAAAAGGCAGATCCATTTTTAATTTTTTGAGGTCTCTCCATACTGCTTTCCACAGTGTCTGCACCCATCTGCATTCCCAAGCTCTTTATTCTTTTTTTTTTCTTTTTCTCCATATAAAATACATTTTATTTTTTAATGCATAATCTTTTTTAAAATTAATTTATTTTTTCAAATACATTTGTCTCTGCCTACCCCCCCACCACTTTCCCTTGCTCCTTCCTTCCCTCCCTCAACTCTTCCCCTTTGGTTTTGTCCATGAGTCCTTGCTATATGTTCCTTGACTTTCCCCTTCCCTTTCCTTCCTTTTCCCCCGCCCCCCTCCCTGTACTTTATTCTTTTATGTTGTATTTTTTAAATCTTTTTTTTAATTTATTAATTAGAGAGAGAGAGAAACATTGATTTGTTGTTCTACTAAATGATGCATTCAATAGTTACTTCTTGTATGTGCTCTGACCAGAGATTGAACCTGCAACCTTGGTGTGTCAGGATGATACTCTAACCTGCTGTGCTACCTTGCCAGGGTAAAATTTGTTTTTCAATTACAGTTGCCATGCAAGATTCTGTTAGTCTCAGATGCATAACAGTGACTAGACATTTATACTTCACGAAAGGATCACCCTATGAATCTAATGCCTGTAAGATACCGTATTCTTTATTCCTTTTTCACATCTGAAAAACTCTGATTCTGAAACACTTCTGCCTCAAGGGATTTCTTTCTTTTTTTCTCACTGAAAAGAACTTGTGCCTTTATTTGTCACTATATATGTGGGAATTTTGTGTGTCTTCTCCCCACCCCAAAGGATTTCAAATAAGATATCATGGACCTATATACTGCCTCCCACTCACCTCAAAGTTAAGTCCAAACTTCTTGGGATAGCCCAACCTCTGACTACTTTTGTTAGCCTGATCTGTGACGTTATAGTTAGAACAATACATGCATTTCCTCGGTTCACCCTCCTTCGTGCTGCCACGTTTTTGTTTGCGTGTTCTGGCCTTTAGTGCCCCTTGCCACCTCTTCTGCTATCATAGTCCAAGCCATCGTCCTCTCACCTTAACTGTGAGACTGTTCCCCCCGAGACGCCTCCGCCCCATGGCTTTTCGCCAGGCTTAGAATAAAATCCAGAATGCTCACAGGCCTGTGGGATGGAGCTCCTGGTTCTGTCTGCAGCCCCTCCTTTCCTGCTGTCCTTCCCTTTGCTCACTGCTCTCCTTCTTGTCCCTGAAACATGCCACGCACTCCTGCCTTGGCGCTTTTGCATTTGTTTTTTCTCTGCCTGGAATGCTCTTCTCCCAAATATCTGTATTCACTCTTTATTTCATTTTTAAAAATATTTTATTATTTTTAGAGACGGGAAAAGAGGGAGCGAAACATCAACATGTGGCTGCTTCTTGAGTGCCCCCTACAAGGGACCTGGCCTGCAGTCCAGGCCTGTGCACTGACCGAGAATCAAACCGGCGACCCCGTGGTTTGCAGGCAGTCAGTCCACTGAGCCACACCAGCCAAGGCTCATTCTTTATTTCATTTTGACTTGTGCTTAGCCTCCCCAGAGAGGCCTTCATAGTGAGCCTGACTAAAGTAGCATCCTCTGTTAATCTGGATCTACATCATGTTTGATTTTCATAACTTTTTGACACAATATAGAAGGTGGGGCAAAAGATTTAGTTTTGATTACGCGAAACAGTTTATTCTTGTATTATTTATTAATTATTGTATTTTTTTGTCATACAAACAACTGTAAACCTGATTCCTTCATGAAATATAAGTTACGGAAGGGCAGGGATTTTGTTTGTCTTATTTCGACACCTTAGAGAGGTGCCTGGCGTAGGTGCTCAGCAAATATTTGTTGAATGAATTGTTCCCTGCAGAATGGATGGAGTGTCTCTTTTCTGGTTTTGAAGCTGTGCCGCTTCAGTGCAGTTAATGAAAACTAAAATTATTGCCCTGTTGTTTCCCACAATAATTTGGCAAGTTTCCACTGTTCTCTGCCATCCAGTTAACAGTGTCTGCCTTACAGGCTGCGGGCCTCGCGGGTGCTTCTTGTCGGCATGAAAGGACTCGGGGCTGAAATTGCCAAGAATCTCATCCTGGCAGGAGTGAAAGGACTGACTATGCTGGATCACGAGCAGGTGAGATGTGCAGCCACCTCCTCACTCTCCAAAGCAGCCCCCCTCCCCCCAGTTGATTTGGGAGAGAGAAACATTGATTTGTTGGTCCACTTTATTTATGGATTCACTGGTTGCTTCTTGTATGTGCCTTAACCAGGGATCACACCTGCAACCTTGGCGTATCAGGATAATGCTCTAACCAAGTGAGCTACCAGGCCAGAGCGGAAACAGTCTCCCCCTCTTAGGTATAGACACTTAGAGACTTGGGGAGTTCCTGCTTACCTCTTAGAGGCTGTGAAAGGAGGACTGGCATCAGTGGAACTGTAGCCTTTGGAGACCGTTGGTGCCAGCACTGCATTTGATTTCCTCACCGCTGCATTCTAGGTGGACACTCAGCGGAGACTCCTGTCTCCTTGTCGAGCTTGCTTATCTGTAAGCGGAGGTAACTGCTGTGTTGGAGAGTGATCCTGAGGGACAGAGGAACAGCTTTCCAATTGGTGCCTGTAAATCACCTGATACCTAGAAATGCAGAATTGCCTTGGGGCTTTGTCATGGCGTAGCCTGCGCCTTCCCATGATTCTGCTTTAGAAAAAAGTCTGAGATGAAGCTCAGGAAAAGATACATTTAAAACATAACTCAATCTTTAAAAATTGAAAAATAAGTAAAAGGTATCCTAGGAGATCTTGATGTGAATGGATGACAGTCATGATTTTGGAAAACATTGGCTCGGAGAGGACGTGTGTGGACTGCTTAGCATAGTGCCCGCACGGAACCAACAGAGCACACAGTAATGCGTGATCATCTGATGTAATGCTGTTTAATGATGATTCACGAATAGCACCCGACTCTGGGGTGGCTTTCCTCTGACCTGTCTCGACGGTGAAAGTAACTGCTGCTTTCTCTACATTCGCATGCCTCAAAGACATTTTAGGTTTTCTTAATAGAAAATTTCAAATACGTATAAAAGTAGAATAGCGTTTGACATCCCATCTACCTGGCTTATACAGATACCAATATTTTGTTGATTAAAAAAAAAAAATCTTCTACCCTCTATTTCTTTGGACAGTATTTTGAAGCAAATTCCAGAAATCATGTCTTTTTAGGTAAAATACTTCTGAGACTGTATTGTCACACGCTGTGATTTGTGTCATTTTTTCCTTTAGGTAATGAACAGGGGTTCTTGTCTCACACTAAGTAACTAGCACACAGTTTGAGGTGTAGGCTCTGTGGGCAAAAGTAAATGTTAATGAAATTTTTAAAAGTATACCTTGTTCTGGGTTTTGGAAGAAAGATATCTGGGATCATTAACTTTTAAAAGTTTTACTGCAATATGAAAGGAAACATGGGTTGGCTCACTTAATATCACATTCCTGTACTGATTTTTGACTTGAATTCAAAACCTTTTAAGGAAGGCAAATTCCTGCAAGCAAGCTGCCAGGTTGGTAACAGTCTTGAGTACCTGTTGCTTTGTCATCTCCCCAACCACAGTGCCCCCTAGAGGCAGGAGTACCCCATCGACAGGAAGCATTTGTAGTGTAGAGAGAGTAAGAGTGGAGACTTGGAGGAAAGACGGTTCCTAAACGTGGAGGCCCTTGGTGTGGAAAAGGGGAGCGACCGTGCAACACTGAGGAGTGTATGATGTGGTTCTGTCACTGCCTCGGTGCAGTGATGAAGGCCGCCAGCGCTAGAGTGAACCGGCTGATGGTCATCCCTTACCTGTGCACTTCGAGGGCTTACAGTGCCTTCCACTGCAAGGCCTGACTCCTCTGACTGGATTTCAAGGCTTAACACAGAGGTTCTCAGTCCCATCTGTGCTTTAGAATATGTGGGGAGTTACTTAAAAATAAAAGTTCTTCAGGTGAGTCTGACAGTCACGGAGAGTTGGGAACCAGTTGCTTCATATAACCTGGTCCCAGTCAACTTACCCAGCCTGACCCCCATCTTAGAAATTTAACAGTTAATGAGCACTCTGTGGTTGGTCTGCCCTTTGCAGTCTGCTTGTGCTTCTCTTCCCCCTGACAAGGAACATGCCAGCAAGACAGTGCTGCGTAGCACAAAAAGCTTTGGAATCGCGCAGACTTGGGCTCAAATCCCCCTCCTCAAGCTGGGCAAAGGACTTAGCCTCTCAGAGGCTCAGGTTGCTAATCTATAAATTGAGGGTGTTATTTCCTGTCCCTTAGAGTTTTTCATTTTGTGTACATTAACAGGCATCCAAGAGCACCTTCTGGTACCCAGAATATTCTAGGTTTTGGCCATACAAAGATGCACAACATTTAATTCCTATTCTCAACATTTTTCCAGGAACCAGACTGGGCTCCCTGACTCAGGGTGTGGTAGAGGACATGAAAGTCTTCTGCAGTTCTGATCTGAGCTGAGTATTAAACAAGTAGAGGTGTGTCAAGTCAAGGGCTATGTTCCAGGCAAGGGACCTAGCAGTGACACGAAACAGCAGGGAAGCTATAGGCGATAGCAAGCAGTTTGGAGTGTTGAGAGTGTGAAACCTAAAGTGTCACTCCCAAAGTGGTAGGAGGTGGGAGCAGGCTGCCGGCAGGATCCAAGTCATGAAGAGCCTGCTAGCAAGCCCTGCTGTAAACTTACACTGAAACCCCTCAGTAGCGAGGTCTCATTGGAGAGTTTTGAACGTGGGAAGGAGGGACCTGGTCAGCTTTGGGTAGATCGCTGACCACTCTATGAGCCATGGCTGGCCCAAGGCCACTCAGAAGGCTGCTTTAGTAGTTTTGGTGAGAGATGAAAGGGATCTGAGTAATGGTACTGGTGACTGGGCAGGAGGCACGCAGCGGTGAGGAAAACTTAAGTGGCAGAATTGGTAGGATCGTATATGGGCGCGCAAGGAAGGCAAGGGATACCCGCAGCTTCCAGCAGCAGACACTCACCGAAGGTGCTGGACGTTGTTCTAAGAGCTGTGGCTGTAGTATCTCATTTAGTCCTCCCAGCAACTCCCAAGAGGAACGGCTTATCATCCCTACTTTACAAATCAGAAAACTGAGGAAAAGGAGTTGAAGTACTGGCCCACTCAAGGTCACAGCTGTTAGTGGGAGACCATGACCCAGTCAGTCTGACTCCTGCTGGCGCCCATGCTCAGCCACCTTAGCAGGCGGCTTCTGTCGAGGGAATATTACAGGAGTCAGGTAGTGAAGGGCCGATGGGATGTCCAGGAGGGAGTATCTGGTGGGCAGTTAGTTTAATGCGAGACTCAGATCAAGAAGAAATCTGTACCATTAAGAGCGATTTGAGAAATATCAGAAAATTCTGGTAGAACCAAAAAGAGGCATCGAGGTGGTGTGTGGTGGTATCCAGAGTGAGAAGATCAATGATTCTGAGAGGGAACCTCAGGGACAGTCGCACCTCAGGGGGCCCGTGTAGAGGCTGCACTGTCTAGCGAGGGAGGAGGAGAGCCAGGATCTGAGAGGCGAGGGGAGCAGAGAATGGATAGTAATAATTAACATCGGTGGAGTAATTAGTAAGTGTGGTGTTTTTATTAACATGTGCATTTTACATGTGATTCCTTCATAGGCACTCAAGGTTACACAGTGAGTGGTTGAGCCAGCATTTGAATCAAAGATGTGAATCCTGCCTGAATTATTTGAGAGCCTTGCTTTTCATCACCGTGGTGTATAGCTTCTCAGAATATAATGAGATCCCTGAAGAAGCAGGATGGGATGGGTTGAGATTCCTGTTAGAGGGTTGGCCTTGAATGGGAGAAAGACCAGCTCATGTTCTTGGAGGGAAGGTAGTAAAGTAGTTAGTGCAGTGGAAACTTGGTAGGAGGAGAGAAGGGAAGATTGAACCCGGTCTTGGTGAAAGTGGCGAGGTCATACCTAGAGAATAATGGTTACATTAGATGTTTGGGAAGAAGTGCTTTGTGAACAGTGTGGAGTCCAGTGATCATGTTATCTGCCTTTGAGGGTGTCTGCAGTATGTCCAGCCTTCTGGGAGAGGTCGTCTCTCTCTTCCAGCCCCCACTGATCTTTCCTCCTCTGATTTTTAATGGAATTTAAGAGTTTATTTCAAGCATTCTTAGTTGTGTTTGATTTTTGCACTGGTCTGATTTTAACCACTGCAGGCAGGGACCACATCCTTTAAAATACTTACGTTTCTGAATGCTCAGAGTTCGGCATGTGGTAAGTATTTGGTGAAGTCTGACTATGATAATTATATCGTTTTGTTAGCAGTTACAAACAGAAGTAGAAGACGACAGCATGGGCTTTTCTCTTCAGAGTGAATTTTCTTTATAAACACAAGGGGGAGCTCTTTAACCATCAATGCCCAGGGAAAGTTTGGTGTCTATTTTGAAGCCTCAGAAGGAAGGAGTGTAGAGAGTCTGCATTTAGGCAGGTTCCCACAGGAGCAGTAATGCAATTAGACGGTGGGTATTTTAGTTATCCTTTAACATGGAAAGGTTCATTGTCTTTGAGATATGTTTTTCCCCCAATTCAAGTATTTTATTAAAAATTCTTCCTAGGTATCTCCGGAAGACCCTGGAGCTCAGTTCCTGATCCGTACTGGGTCTGTTGGCCGAAACAGGGCCGAGGCCTCTTTGGAGCGAGCCCAGAATCTCAACCCCATGGTGGATGTGAAGGTGGACACTGAGAATATAGAAAAGAAACCAGAGTCATTTTTCACTCAGTTCGATGCTGTAAGTTTCATAGAGAGTGTACGATCTGGGGAAATTGAGCAAATTAAAGCTCTAATTGTGTGTGTTCTAGGTACACTGGAACATCAGAATCTTGAATTCTAAGCTTTTTTCCCAAGTAAGTCTGTAAGCTGTACTGTTCCTCAGCCTCAGGAGGTGGAATGTGTTGGTGGGGATCCAGTACTTGGGTCTGCGCATATGTCCCCTTAGGCCGGGTTTCATCCTTGGTGTTTTGTCTTCCTTCCAGAATCTTTGCACATAGCTTTGGTACATTTTATTGCAAATGTTTTCTCTTGAAAGTGTAACAAGTTGGTGAGTAATTTCTGTAGGAGAGTCTTCCCCTTTTTTTTTGGTCAGCAATACCAAAGTACAGCTTGTGTTTTGTCTTTAAAAAAAAACAGCACACCTGATCTTGATCTGTCTCTTTCACACAGCCGCTCTGACCATGTTGCCATGGCTAACGCAACAAAATCCCTGTAGTCATAAGCCGAATGGGGCATATCCAGCCCCATTTGGTTTCACTGCCAAATCTCTGCAGAGGTGAAAGGATAAGTTAAGTTCTGTTTCAGTGTCTCTGGCCTTTCAGACATGGGTCCGTGTACCCTGCAAGAAGCTTGGGTAACTGTGACATAGTCACAGATGACCAATCTACTTGTTTTTTAAATGAAAGGCCCATTACCCAAGAGGTTAGAAGTTGGATTGGGTAGTTTGTTTTTCACACTGTTATATTTCATATGTGCATCTGTTCAAATACAGGCTTGAAATGACGGCTCATCTGTGCATTTTGTCTTTTTTTAATTCATTCTGTTTCATAACTCCAGATATTGGAACATTTTCCATGTGGATGAAAATCTCTTCACGTTTTTATCCACAGTAACCACATTTGATATACTCTAGGTGTCCCTTGAGCTTCCAGCACTTAGAAGCCTTGTCAGAGCTGAAGCAGGGGGCCAGTTGCTTGTATAATGCACGTGCGCGGGGCGAGCGTGACTGTCTCACAGGTCATGTGTGATGGGTCCTGATTCTTGCGATTCTACAGGCTTCCGTTTGGGCAGTTGATTACATGTCCCCCCCTGGGGTTGTCATGCCTTCTTGATTTGACTTTTCCTTGGGAGACTGTGTCCTTTGAATTTCACCAGAGGCATCTACTTCTCTGGGAGTTTAAGTGTTCAGGCTGCCAGAAAGAGCAGAAGGGGTCTGTCAAATGAAATTATCCTTTTGTAATTTCTTCTCCAACTTTCTGTGTTCAGATGAAAAATGTACACGTTAGGAATTATCTTCTTGGCCCTGATCACAAAGCTTCTCCTGGAAAGGCAGTGTTTTATGCAGTAAAGTTTAGCCGTTTCCAGTATCTCAACTTATTGGAACAGATCTTAGAGGCTTCAGGGCAGCATCGATAATTCCACTCAGTTGAATCACCGGTTCATTGTCTGAATCTGAATGGAAGGTCACTTGGTCTGTAACCTTTTCTTTTGTCCTTAAATTCAGATAAAATTTCACATGGAAAACTGGAAAAATAACCTCAACAGGACTTGTTTATCTTTTTTATCTTAACATATCCATCAAAAGAAGGGGGGGAAATGCCCTTGTATTTAAATGTGACCTATGGGTCACTTTTAAATACTAGTTTTGCTTCTTGCTGTAGCTTATTCAGATTTTAATATATTTAATTCTTTAGAAATAACTTACACTGAGCTATTTCTGTTTTTTTCTTTTCTTTTCATGCAAACTATGAAATGTGGTTTACATATGTTCATGGATCAGGGGAAACAAATTCATTGAATGGCTTTTACTTTCTAGCTAAACACATTTCGTTCAGGTTGCAGAAAGTGACAGTCTCATAATTTACATTTTCTATACACTGAACCTTCAACTTTTCCTTTGTCTTCCAACCATAAGATCCAAAGAACCTGTTGTACCAGTTTGAAACTGGCTTTAGACATGCCTGGCGAGGCTGCTCGTTAAGATTTATTTAGACATCAGGACAGTGATTCACAGTTTGCAGAACTCACTCCCAGCCAATTTTTTTCTTCCCGCAGGTATGCCTGACTTGCTGCTCCAGGGATGTCATAGTTAAAGTTGACCAAATCTGTCACAAAAATAGCATCAAGTTCTTCACAGGAGATGTTTTTGGCTACCATGGATACACATTTGCTAACCTTGGAGAGCATGAATTTGTAGAGTAAGTGTTGGGAGAGGAGGAGGGAGTAATACCATTTTCAAAATAGAGTTTTATATACTGATTGGAAATTAACCATTGAAGGAAAATCTTTTACTGTAATACTTAGAACGTTGGGAAATCAATTTATTAACAGCTTATGCTACGTAGATTGTGTGGTCAGAATGGCAGGAGATGGGGTCCCTGCCTTGGTCTCATTTCAAGCATAAAGAAAGCAGAGTTCTAGGCAATCGAAGTACATCGCCTAGGGGTTTAGCTGTCTGGATTTCCGGGTGTGAAGCGCGCTTTCTCTTCAGGGAAGGCTTGCTAGGCTGGTACGACCTCTGTGGCCCATCTTAGGCTTGAATGCTTTCAGGGGAGAGACCGTAAATGAGTACAGCACAGTTAGGTGGGCATGTCTGGAGGCACGTTTGGCTGAAGTCTGCCTTGGGAACAGAGCCCCACGCGGCCCGGAGACTGCCCTGGCGCAGCAAGCAGCCCGTGCCCTCTCGTCATGAACATGCGGTTGCAGACCACGGTGATTCTCACATGATGGGACCTGCAGCGTTTTGAACTTGTAGCTTCTTGAGAAAGATGATACCATTATTGTAAAACGACATGAGTTGGTTTATTGGCTGTAATTTTCTGACCACTGCCCCACCCCTTAAGAGGTAAAGAGAGACCCTGCTGTCTGGCAGGTGACGCTTCCTACCCAGAGTCATGAACTGCTTGCTTTAGTTCAGCTTGTCACACAAATGGCAGAAATTTCTCTGGTCTGCAGGTTTCTTGCCTGTAAAATTGACTTGGGGGAAAGGACAGACATGCTCAAGATTTTGTAACCTCAGTGTTTTATGGCTTTAAGAAAATCTAGTTCTCTGGGCCCATTATAAATGGATAAAGAAGTCTTACAGGAAAGCAGTCCCGATTATTTTAATGTGAGCTCCTCATGGCAGAAGGGAGGAATTCAGTTTGACTATTTCATGATTCAAGTGGAATGTTCATCGAGTTTGCTGACAGCTTACGGGGCAGTGCGCTACACAATGTATGTTGTTTCTCTTCTTGCAACAATCTTCTGTTAGCAGTTGTTACTCCCATGTAGTGCGTGACCGGCTCTGGGATTTGAACCCAGGTCTGTTTGACTCCAAATCTTTTGCCCTTAACCGGCATCCTATTCTGTGAGGTGGTAATGCTCTCTTTGTTCTTACAACATGATTCCTAGGGTAGAACTGGATTCCTTTCCTTGTCACCCTCTAGGGAGAAAACCAAAGTTGCCAAAGTTAGTCAAGGGGTAGAGGATGGACCTGATACCAAGAGAGCAAGACTGGATTCATCTGAGACAACGATGGTCAAAAAGGTATGTGTGCTCTGCGTGCGTGTGTTTGGTGGGCGGGGCTCAAACCCTGAGCTTTCTGGGGACAGGCATTTACAATGGCCAGCGAGGGAAGCCATGCTGGGCTTGGAGGGAGGGTCTGGACAGACAGGGCTGGTGCTTGTCCCACTTAAAGGGGGGCAGCTGCTGCTTAATGCCAGCCTGCTGAGCTGTGGGGAATGTGTGGACTTAGGATGCCAGATGTGATTTTTTTTTTTTAAGATTTTATTTTTTCAGAGAGAGGAGAAGGGAGGAAGAAAGAGGGGGAGAGAAACATCCATGTGTGGTTGCCTCTTGCTCGCCACCAACTGGGGACCTGACCTGCAACCCAGGCCTGTGCCCTGACAGGGAATTGAGCCGGTGACCTTTCAGTTCCCAGGCTGGTGCTCTGTGCACTGAGCCACACCAGCCAGGGGCAGATACGCCTCTTTTTTTTTTTTTTTTTTTAAGAGAATCAAAAATGTAGATGTTGTGGGGGAGGATATACCCTGTCCCAAACTTTTAACACTGGCAATCTACTCACCCGAATGCTGTTCTCACCAACACTGGAGGCTAAAAAAAGTGTGTTTGCAGGACTGACTGGGTCTGTGGGCCACCAATCTGACTCCTGGTGTGTGGAGTAATATCAGACAGACTGTTTTTGAGCAAAGGCGATTATTATTATTATTATTATTATTATTTTTAAATCAAATTGATAGACAATTTAGTAAGGTACTAAATGGGCGGAAGACAGCCTAAACTTGAATTAACTTTTGTTTCTTTAAAAGTTTTCACTAAATCTTTCAAGAAGAGAGGCCTTAGAGTAACAAATGTTATCAGGTGTGTATTTTTAAATGGATACTTAGACTGTACTTGGAATTGGTGCAGTAATTGAAATTCATTTTCTAGAAAGAGGAGTGGGAGTCGGAAGGGAATCCGAGACGACGGTTTCCTAGTTGGTGGTGGAATCTGAGAAGGAATCTTGCGATGGGGAAAATGAGGCGAAGTGGTCAGAATTGGTTTTATTGAACTGAGAGGAAAGATACGACCAAGCTCATATATACTCTTTACTATGTAGATTTAAATGTTGAGAAAGAAAAACAGCTGGTCAGAGCATCAAGTTAAAATTGCCCTAAAGGGGGGATTCTAAGAGTGCAGAAACCACAAAAGAGACTGCAGAAAACCACAAAAGTGGAACTCTTCAAGTTTCCAGCAAGGCTGCGCTGGAGATTTTCTTTTTCTTGCTTTTTATGTTTGTACTGGAATAGTTTGATGCTGTGAGTGTGATACAGAGGAATTATTAAGCCCTAATTTTAGTGTCTATTCACAGGACCATAATTATCCCAAGTGAACATTGGTGTTTTGGCCAAAACTTGGGTCCTTTTCTTTCTTCCTTTCTTTCTTTTGGAGGCCCAGCCAGGCCTTATCTGAATAGCTCCGTGAGCTTGGTGGGGGGAGATAAATTGTTAACTAATGTAGGAGGACAAAAGCAGCTTTGTGGGTGCTGTCAATTTATAAATCACACCCTCTTACAAGTGTGACACTTGGCCTTGGTGTGAAGGGTTTTATGGCTTAAGGGCTTCTCTGATTGAGGCGGGTCTTTCACATTCAAATGGAGAGTGCCTGGCTTTGTTAGCCCTTCACAGCTGGGAGTTTCCTGGGAGTCGGTGTTGCCGGTGCCCACTGGGGCCGATCTGGAAACCCCTTTGGGGAGCCACTCCATCTCGCTATGAGGAGAATGCGGGCAGCCCGGGCAGGCACTCGCGCACCATTCCTAGAGCTCTTCAGTCACGGGGCGTTGCGCGTGGCCCCTTCCTACGTGGGGCTGAAGTTGAAGGTATCAAAATATGCCCCAGCTGACATTGTTAGTCAGCTGTTTCGCTTGGACAATTCAGGCCTGGATTCCAACCAGAGCCCTGAAGGTTGCGAGGCATTCAGTGCATTCCTCATGACAATCCCCGGGATTCCAGACCTTGCCTTTGTGCGGCTTCCCTGAGAGCCCCGCGGAAGCCCGGGCCGCCCGGACCCTGGCCAGCGCCTTGTCACCTTGTGGCAGAAGGTTTTCTCCGTTTTGGCGGAGACTGCTCTGTGGTGTGGAGTTTGCGTCCAGCTCAAAGATTCCTTGATTCAGATTCTGCCCTTTTGCCTAAATTGTACGGAATAACTAGCTGGGTTATGCTCAGGGTGCAGCATGGGGGTGGGGAAGTGGCCACTTCCTGTTTCCTGTGAAAGGTTTCTGGTTAGGTTCCAAATGTGGTAAAGCCACTTTTGCTTTAAGGTACGCATTGTGCTCCTAAATTAGAAACGTTAAAAAACAAAGAGGGAAAACAGAGGTTGTGGTTTTCACACCATCTAGGAAGACACTGGGCCTTTCTAGCACAAGTGCTATCGTGACAAACACAGCAGTGGCCGGGGGGTGGGGGGGGGGCGCTGCCCGGAGCTGGCTGGCTGCTCGGGCGCTTGTTTGCTGCTTTTGGTGCCCAGGAGAAGTGCATCCGATTTCATCGGAATCTGGTCTTGGGCACAAACCTGACGTAGACGCTAACGCGCAGTGGATAAAGGAGAGGGTGATGGTTTTGCGGAGGAAATGTTCAGAAAAGTCTCCCAGAGAAAGAGTTGTTAGATTTGCATGTAAATGCCAGTTTGCCAGGCCCCAAAGCCAGGGCCAGCATTCAGTCACAGGAAGCAGGTTCAACAAAAAGCACAGATAGGACAGAGTGACCCTGGCTTTTCTCACTCCAAAGCAGCCATCTCTTTCTGTTTCTTTGGGTTGCAAAATGCTTGCTGTGTGCAGGGCAGTGTGTTGGGTGCAGGCAAGCACATCCAGCCCCGTTGTGCCATCTAGTGCTGGCGCGGAAGCTGAGAGGTTAAACGACCCGCCAGGGCCATGCGGCTCTGTAAGAAAGCAGCGGCAGGTGGGAGGGCAGGGACCGAGCCAAGGGCACTGGCTCACCCTGTGACTCAAGCCGAATCCTCTGGGAGTTTCTAGAGTGTTTTGAAGTTTTATGAGGATGGTGGGATACAGCATGTGAAGACGGGGGTCCTTCCAGGAAAACCTTTGGGAGGAAAGGCCGTTATCACACTCCCATTTGCTGCGGCTCTTGTTTGTTTGTGGTTAGGGGCTGCTGGACATGAGTAGATGGGCTGATGGTGCTTCCTCGCCCTAACAGCACTTTAAAAATCAAGCACAAAGTAGGATTTGTTCATGACATGCTAAGAAATACAGATTTAATTTTACCTCTGCTTCTGAAAATAGTAGGTGACTAATTTGGGCACTGTTAATACTCTTCTCATGAATTAGTTGTGAAATTCCACAGGAGAGTAGTGATTCATTATTTTGATTCCCCCTTTCTGAGCAGTTTGTTGACAGCTCTGTCTTCTTCCTCTCACCCCCATCTTTAAAGAAACATTCCTGTGTTTCACTGATGAGTTTCGTTCTTCCTCTTTTGTGGCGCCTTGACTTGTAAAGCTGGTTGCTCTCCAGGTCACTTGTCAGCCTCTCCCATTAGAGTTTAAGCTCCATCAGGACAGGGTGGCTTCCTCCGTTGCTGTCTTAGGCAGTGCCTGGTACACAGTCACGTTCAGGAAAGGTTTGTGCAGTGAAGTTGTGGCTTTCGCTACAGAGTATTGCAATTTTTAAAAAGAATTATTGAATTAACTCTCTTTGTGATCAACTAAATTGGATTAATGGTGTAGTACATTAGTTCTCATAGTTTAGGTTTTTGAGTAAGGCAAGAACAGATTTACAAGAAGGACAAGGGACTTGGCCAGGAGTGTTTAGAAGTAAGCCATTGGGTTGCCTAGACCAGGTGCTTCAGGCCCAGATGCTGCTAATTGTCGCAGTCGCTTGGTTTGGGGGAGGGGTGGCAGGGTAGTGCAGGGTGCAGGCTGCAGAGTCTGGTGCAGTGCTGATGGTTGGAGAGAGTGGGGTGGGTGCTGGTGGTGCTGTCTCACAGGGCGACGTTTCTGGGCTTTGGGGATTAGGGAAGGGGGCCCTTCCCGGCATTACAGCACAGCCAGCCAGCCTGCGTGTGTGCTTGTGCGTGTGAGAGCTTTGATACAAAAAAAATCATGCCGCATCAGTCCGAGTTTCAGAACATAACAGTAAAACGCTGTTAACCTTAAAAACCCAAACATTTCCAGTGTGTTGTGCAATCTGTGTGCTCCTTCTCTCCCTTCTCCCCGGGCTGCTGGTACATTTGTGTGGACTTAATGAGGTACCTGGAAGGAGCGAATATAGCCCTGGTTGGCCTAGTGTTTTGTCGTGAGTTTGTAGAATTTACTGTGTGATGTTGCGAGTATAAATTAGGAAGGATATAGCTGCGCATGTACCCGTCACCCCGTTTAGAGCATAAAGCACTACCAGTGTGGTCGGGCCCAGCCCAGGGGTCCCCGCCCAACATAAGGAACCTCCGTCCTCAGTCGCAGTTCTCATGCCCGTGCATTTAACTATGTATGAGAACAGACACAGAAATAGAGAAATATTTGGTACGCTCTTTAACTTTTTTTTTTTAAGAGCGGAGGGCAGGGAGAGGCATCGATTTGTTTCATTTATGTGTGCATTCATTGGTTGATTCTTGCATGTGCTCTGACCAGGGATCAAACCTGCAACTCTGGTGTATCAGGACGCTGCTCTGACCAACTGAGCTACCTGGCTGGGGCATTTTCAGCTTCTTTAAAAATTGGTTTCATAGTTTCTAAATACTACCATCTGCTTTTTAAGAGCAGTGTTATGTGTATATATGTCTATATATGTATGTGTGTGTGTGTGTGTGTGTGTGTATGTATTTGTAGTTTGAGGGCTTCACTGTCCATATTGGTAGCCACTAGCCATGTGTGACTATTAAAATTAATTAAAATTTAATAAAATAAAAAGTGTGCTTCTTCAGCATCTCTAACCACAGTTCATATGCTCAGTAACCACAGGGGCTATTGGCATTTGTGTGTAAGGATAGAGGACGTGTGAGCGGACGTTTGAGCCCCATAGCAGTTCCCTTGGACAGCAGCACTTCAGGACAGTCTTCTTTTTTTCTGGCTGCAGAGCATTTGTGGTGTGAATATATCGCTATTCTGCTGTTGTTGGACATTTAGGTGTGTGAGTTTTCCCTGTAACAAATTGGGCGTGCTCCAGCTGGTGTTTCGTGTGTGTGTGTGTGTGTGTGTGTGTGTGTGTGTGTGTAGCTAATCTCCTTGAGCAACTGTGATTTCTCCAGGGTGGATACTTAGGACAAAAATTGGGATGTGTGTGTCTTCAGCTTCACCAGACCCTGCCTGCTAAACTACTCCCGAGTAGTTTTATCCACTTACATTCCAAAGCCAGCGATACGTGACAGTAATTAATTTGTGCTAACTTCAGGCCCTTTTGCCACTCTGCTGAGTGTGAAAATTTGTCTCCGGTTGTGGCTGTCATTTGTTAGAGTGCTTTTGAAAACTGTAGCCTCCCGTGAGGAGGTGTGGAAATTAGACCTAGAAAGCTGTAGTTTTGAAAGTTATTTCGATTCTGATTTACATTCAACTTTACATCTAGGACTATATCACACGTTATAGGTGTGCAGCCTGATTTAAAAAGTAAAATCTATTCACAATCCCAGGTGTGGAAAACAGAGCAAGCTGAGCGAATGTGAACCCCTCCCCAGTAGTGGCTTTCAGTATTCTTTCTGTGTGTATAGTATACAAAAGAAAGTTGAGCTATGTAATGACCTAACATATGTGACATGTGTTGTGTTTGGCTTTTTTTATTCAGCGTGTTTTCAGAAGCGCTCCCCAGACGCGTGTGCACTGTGGAGCGCGTGGCTTGCACGCCTCGCTGAGACCTAGCGAGCCAGCCTCCTGTCGCGGTGACCAGGTCACTGCAGTTTCCCACTCTTGTAAATGGCCCAGCGCAGCCCCGTAATCTGGCGGCTGGTAGACCATGTGGAGAATTCGTCTATTATATTTACTCTTGGGATTTTCAGCAAACTCACGGTATTTATTGACAATCTAATCTACTTGGTGTTGTGCCTTTCGCTGTGTCCCTGCCCCAGGCAGCTGTAAGGGGTGTAAGAGGCTTGTCACTAGTCTTAACCGGACTACGCAATTGCAAGCATTAAGGCTCGGGGTTCTCTGGGAAGCAGGGCTGGGGGTGGGGGGCAAGCAAGACTGGGAGTTGCCAGGTTTAGTGTGTTCTCTCGGTGCAGGGGGATGGTGCTGTCCTGGGCGCTTCATCAGAAAGACCCTTCCCTGCCAGCGCTGTCGAGCGAGTTTTCCCTCAGTCCAGTGTGGGTGAGGTGGGTAAGGCAAGCACCACCTTCTGCGTGTTTCCCACTGCAAATTAAGCAACTTGGTTAAGTTGTTTTATTTTTAATTGTTATGAGCGATGATAGTAGACTTGGGGTAGTTGGAACACCCAAAAAACGGGACGTTAATTGGAGGCGAGCTGGAGCAGTACAAGATGAAGAACTACAGTGATCTGAGAAGGGTGCAAACTGGGGAGCTGGGGAGCCTGAGCGGCGGTAGGAATTTGGCCTTTGTCTTTAGAGCCCTGCCGTTATTAATACAGTTCTGTTTCCAGCTTTCAAATTCTCAGTTCCCAGGAGAAAGAATCTGACTGGTCAGGCTTGGGCCAGGGCCCTCCGCTGGCTCTGTCACCTGTAGCTGGAGGGCTAGTCCCCATCACAGACAGGGCCACTGTGGGCCTCCTCCCCGGATACCAGGAAGCGTCCCTAAATGTCTTCCCCAGTCAGGCCTGAGTGCTGAATTCCTTGGCCTAGGGTTACAAGTTAGTGACAGATTTGGGAATTGTTCTGCCCTTCGACTTGGGGAGGAAAAAGGGCCTCTGTCCTTGGCCCTGGTGCTCTAGAAGGTCCCACTCTGTCGTCCTTCCAGCCATTCCCCTGGTAGGACCAAGGAGATAGGTCCTCCTGGAGCCCGTAGTCTTCGCCCCAGTTCTAGACCACACGCCAGGGGCCCTGGAATCTCTCTTCCCAGGCTTTTTGGACTCCTTCCCTGACCTGCCGGGAGTGCAGGCCTCACCACAGGGTCTGCGTGCAGAGGTCTGGGGTTGGGTATGTGGGGGAGGATGGGCTGGGAGGGAGCTAAGAGACAGTGAAGGGCAGGGGGCCGCGCTTCCAGCGCGCCTCCTGCGGGCACAGGGCTCCAGGGAGCCAGAGAGTTCCAGGCCTGAATCCAGGCCTGAACCTATCCTCCCAATGGCTATGGAGAAGGTGTGGGTGTATCTGTTAAGGCAGGAGAATACAATATCCTTTGTTTAATAGCTTGTTAGTGTGATTTACAGTATAACTAACCATGTAGGTGTGATATAGGGGTTTGTATTTGTACTCTTGCCTCAGGCCCTGAAAAGTGTTAGAGGCAGGGCTGCTTGGGACTGAGAATAAAACACAACTTTTTTCCCCCTCATTCATCATCAGATAGTGACCTAACGAATCCATGGACTCTTAGCATTGCTTTTGGTCAGGCAGACTACAAAAACTCTGAATTCAGGTCCTGGTAGTTTTTTAGACCTGAGAGAAAGGCTGTTTCCTCGTTGTGACTGCATTCCCAGACCGTGCCCCCTACAGCTTGGTCTGTGCCTGAGACCTGCTAAACAGGGTCTGGCAGGCTACCTCAGGCACTAAGTGTCGCTAGGCTAACTACAGGATTTATCTTTGAGGTCACTTGGACCCATTGACCAAAAGGTTTGGGGGCAGTACAAACATCTGATATACCACCCCAAAGGGATGATTCTGTGGAGGCAGAAAGCCACCTTACAAACCGTGACTCTTGTACTGCACCTTCACTAGCAATTTGACCTTTCATCTATAAAATCCGTTTTGGTCCTTAGCGAGATGTGTAAACTGCCTGGTAGCTTATGCATCTTGGTTGACTGAGCCTCCTAAATTATACACTTGTTTTGAGTCTCTCTCTATCTCTATCTTACATATCTGGGGTAGGGTTTGTGTGGTGTGTGTACAGAGAGAGAATAAAAAGAAGACAGGCATGTCTAAGTTTTGAATTATTTATACGCTCACACCCATCGTAAACTCAGTAAAAGTAGCTAGTGCTGAAAGCTGTTTTTCCTCTGAGCCACCAGAGAGCACGGTGCCAGCTCGGTGCCCCGACCGTCACTCCAGGTGTTTCAGGCTGTGTTTTCTCAAACAAGGCCTCTTTCGTAGCCACAGACCCTCCATCACAACCAGGAGACCCGCCCAGCTACATCTCTGCCACCCAAGTCTCAGACCCTGCTCACGTGTTACTGGTTGCTCCAAGGATGTCCTCCTGGCAGAAGGATCCAGTTTAGGATCAAGATGCCTGCATCTAGATTTTCATGACACTTTTGAAGATCACAAGCCAGTTACTCTGTAAAATGTCCCTTTGTTTGGGTTCGCCCGATGTTCCCTCATGATTAGAATCCAGCTACACGTTCAGGGGAAAATGTCACGGTGTGGATGCTTCTCACCAGACCTGTGGCCTGGTGTCCACGTGCCCTTCACTGCTAATGTTCGCTTTCCTCATTTTGAGTAAGATTGTGTCTGTCAGGCTTCTCTGAATACAATTCCTCATTTCCCTGTGTGACTAATATATTTTATGGAGAGGTATTTTGAAAACACGTAAATATCCCATTCCTCATTAAATTTTATTCATCTTAATTCTGTGGACTAATGGATTCTAGTTTATTTAAAGCGGTGTAATCTATTATTTTTTATCCTCAATTTGTTCCAGATTTGACCAGTGGGTACTCTTTTAAGCTGGTTCCTGCTCTCTGTTTCATGTCCCCATTATTCTTGGAGCGCTAATTTTGTTTCAGGCACAGTAAGAGACTCCCAAGTCCTCTCGTGCTCTCCCCGCACAAGGTTGAAATCAGCCATTTCTCCAAGCAGAAATGTTTCTCTTAGAAATGGCAGAATGGTGACGGAAACCAAGATCTCGGTATTGGTGGTGTGCTCATTGCTTCTAGAGTATTGGTGGTTTTATTACTACTTTTTTAATCCTCATCTAAGAATGGGGCGGATAGACAGACAGACAGAAATTGATGTGAGAGGGAAACATCGGATGGGTTGCCTCCTGTATGCGCCCCGACCAGCGGTCAAACGTGCAACCTAGGGATGGGGCCTGGCGGGGAATCCAACCCCCAGCCTTTTGGTGCACAGGACCACGCTCCTGCCCGCTGAGCCGCGCGACCAGGGCTCCGCACAGACTCGCTCCCTGCCCTTTCTCAGTCCCAGCAAATGGCTTTTGGATGGAATTGTTCAGGAAACGGAAAGGAAACCATTTTCTCATTCATATTTAATTGTTTGTGTTTTAAAACATATGTTATGGCATTTTCCAGGATTATTTGATTTTGTTTAATAGGTTTCAGCTATGCTTCCCTCTACCACAGGACTTTTGCAAATGTCATTTCCGCTTCCATAGCCTGCAGCTTTGGATTCGTCCTCTTTCCTCCTTCCTGCTGTTGCCTGTTAGTATTGGCATCTATCAACAGTAGCAAACCATTCCTGTACTGAGAAACATTTATTAATCTTTGTTAGTTTTTGTTTACTGTTTAAAAAAAACTGTTTCATTGAATATTTTTAGACACTTTCTCACTTGTGCGAGTATTTCTGCAGCGTAGTTGCAGCCAGGACTAAAGAAAGAGCCAGGGCTTCAGCTTGGCTCCGCCTCCCTTCAGTGGAGGGAGCCCGTAGCCCATCTCTGTGTCCCAGTGCGCAGGGGAGCGCACAGTGAGTGCTCAGCGCACGTTTGTTGGATTTGCGTGGGCTTCCGCTGCTTCTGGTGGACAGCAAACCTCGGATAAGGACACGTCTCTAGATAGGGAAGAGCTACTGCTTTGTGATTTAAAGCCAACATAGTTTATGCTTAAGCAGCCTTGCCTTTTCTTCAACAGAAGGTGGTCTTCTGCTCCATCAAAGAAGCACTGGAAGTGGACTGGAGCAGCGACAAAGCCAAGGCCGCTCTGAAGCGCACAACTCCGGATTACTTTCTGCTTCAAGGTGAGCGCTCGAGGCTGCCCGGCACTCTGGGCTTTGATTTCTGTAAACGTGGCCGTGGGGTCCAGGTGGTTTCTTGATGTTCACCCTGACTCGAGTTCCTCGTTAGCCGGTTCTCCGTGGCCAAGCATCTGAGTGAATGGACACCAGGACTGTCATTGAACTCCAGTTTCTTAATGATTTTTGCTTTTTGTTGTTGAAATGAACAGCCCTCCAAAGTTGAGCCTGAGATAACATGTCATGAATCAAACAACTTCTAAGACCACTTTTCCCTCTTCAGAGTTCTCCTTGGCCCCGAAGTCAGCTCTCCTCGCCTGAAAGGTTCTCTCTGTGTCCCTTCCCTCCCTGCTGGTGCGCGGGGGGCTCTTAGCTAAGTATTGTCTGGCTCTGCGTTGTTCTTCTGCCTGGCACTTCAATTTTCTCTGTGTTCTTTTAATAACTAACATTGAGTGCTTAGCACAAGCCGTTGGAGGTAGATACTATTACCATCCCTTTTTTAAAGAAAAAGAAACTGAGGCACAGATAAAGGTTCCTTATAGTCTCAAAGTTACACAGCAGGTAAGTGTAAAAATATTGGTTAGTTACTTTGTGTAAGAAGAATTCATTTATTGTAGAAAATACCAGAAAAGTAGAAAGAAAAAAAAGTCACCTTGACATTTTTGTGCTTTTGGGAATGTGCTTCCCAACCTTTTTCTTTGTCCCAGTTCAGGCCACACGGGACACTGGATGCCGCACAGGACACGGGAGTCCCTCAGTCACCTGTCCTAGGCCCCGGGTATTTCACCAAGGCCTGTGGGACTCAGTGTCCCTGCAGAGCCCTAACCCTTTCTCAGGGACTCTCAGGCAGAAATGTAGCTTTTCATTGTAAAATTTGTGAAGCCTTTTTCAATTGCATTTGGACAGTACTTGGTCTTCCTTTCCCTAGGGCCGGGAGGAGAGCTGCGCCCCTACCTCCTTCCTTCCTTTCGTCTGTGCAGACCCTGCACGCACCCTCCACGGCGGGATGGCCGGGCTGCGCGAGGTGTTCACACGGGTTCCTCCCGCGCCCACGGGAAATATGTGAAACCATATAAAGCCTCCTTAATGACCTAGTCAGAAGATCAGACGTGGCTAAAGTTTATCTTTACATTATTTATAAGTAGAGCTCTTCCCATACTAATTAATGCTGGTAACCTGATTAGGAACAAGGAGAATTGGGGAACGGACTATTTTGAAACAATTAATATCCGTTTGTATAGAAATAATGAAATGGGTTCAGTGGGAGTGCATCTTTTGCACCGAGTGCAGAACTCAGAGAGTGGCCCCTTGTAGGGACTGGGACAGCTCAGTAAGGAAGGGCCAGCTGGAGTCGCAGCAGTGCTCCCTGCCCGGGGTTCAGAGAGCACGGGGGTCGGCCCCTCAGGAGGAGCTGATTGCTCGGTGCCTTCAGTAAATAGTAGCCGTTAGTTTGCAATGTTTTCTTTCTTTCTTTCTTTATTTTTTTAGAGCAGAGGGGGGCGGGGTAGGGAGAAAGAGAGAAACATCTATTGGCTGCCCCTTGCACATGCCCTGACCAGGACTGAATGCGCAGCCCAGGCATGTGCCCTGACCGGAAATTGAACCAGCGACCTTTTGGTTTGCTGGACGACACCCAACCAACCGAGCCCTACCTGTCGGGGCAATTTGCAAAGGTTTTGGGTATAACTGCTGCTTATATAATTAGTCAACCGGTATTTGAGCTTACCATGATCTGGTGATTCCCTGCCAGGGGCAGTTTTGCCTGCCGGGTGCATTAGCAGTGTCTGGGGACATTCTTGGTTGCTGCTGCTGGGGGTGGGGTGAGGAGAGGTGTTACTGGCGCCTAGTGGGGAGAGGGCAGGGGTGTTGCTAAATACCCCATGACACAAGGCACAGGACACCTCCTCGTGACAGAGAGTTATCTGGCTCCTTGTGTCAGTAGTGCCAAGGTTGAGAAACCTTGACCTGACCCTTTGCAGTTTTCACAACATTTTCTTATCCGGATCATCATCACAACACCATGTGAGGTCAAAAGAGTCAGAATACCCTCAGTTTGGTTTCTTGAGGTGAGGAAACAGAGACCCAGAGAGGCTTGATGTTTTGCCTGAGAGGACCCAGATTGTCACTGGCGAAGGGGGTAGAAGCTGAACAGCCTAGGTCTTTGAAGTCTAATGAATTAAATACTGTGTGAGATACCACGTAATAATAATAGCAGCCGGCTCCATTCTTTCTCAGTACTCTTTGGATCCTCGCCACATGCATGTGAAGTAGCTGCTACACCCTCATTTATAGGTGTCTCAAAAGGCACAGACAAGGGAGACTCGGGTCTGTGGCCATCCCTGCCCTCAGGAGCCTGTCCCTGAGACAGGGAAGCCCTGGAAACAGTGTGGGGAAAGGCGCATATTTAATCCAGATGCTGACCTTCCCAGTCAGAAGTCCCGTGGTGGGGGGGGCCAGGGGAGGAGAGGGGGCTGGAGGGAGCAGCAACAGCAGCCAGGGGTGTGCGGTTGTTCAGGGCTTGAGCTTTGGAATTAAAACAGACCTGGCTTTCAGCCCTGGCTCCACTGTTTTTTTTTGTTGTTGTTGTTGTTGTTCTTAAAGATTTTATTTATTTATTTTTGGAGAGAGGGGAAGGGAGGGAGAAAGGGGGAGAGAAACATCAATGTGTGGTTGCTTCTTGCGTGTCCCCAACTGGGGACCTGGCCTGCAACCCAGGCATGTGCCCTTACCAGGAATTGAACTGGCGACCTTTTGGTTTGCAGAGATGACACTCAAGCAACTGAGCCAGGGCTCCCCCTTTCTTCTCTTTTTCCAAAGGTGGGTGATGTTGAGCCATACACTTAAGTTCCCTGAGGCTCACTCAGATTCCCCTCTGGCCGCGGGGCTGTTCTGTGACTAGCGGTCGCCGCAGAGGGCCTTTGTGAGGCTGGGCGGTGTGCTGCCCCACCAGGCGTCGTGCCCTTGAGGCCCCTGTTGTCCGTGAAGTTGTGTGCTTTTCGTTGTTTTTTGTTTTTGCGGCACGGAAAGAAGTTTGGGGCGTCCCTGGCTCAGTCCCACACGTGAGCGGCAGCATCACCGCAGCAGCCCTGTTGGAGGTCACAGGGCGGGGCACAGGCAGGGCTGCAGCTGCGAGTGCGTGAAGTTTATTCCTGTATTGCTGTTTATTAATTACGGCATCATTTTCCATACAAACAACTGTAAACCTATTTCGCCCCGCCCTATATATCCCATATGCTTATTTTTCTCTTCTAAACAGTACTAATTTTTTTCAGTTTCAAGTTCCAGCACCATGGATTTGGTGATTGAAACTATGTTATTTATATAGTCATAGAGTTTTAAAGGAAGGCGGCAGCCCCACATGCTGTCCTGCCAGGTATGACAGATCTGTGCTGCCCGCTCTCCCCTCCACCCTCACCTGTGTCAGACAAGGCCGAAGGAGCCCTCGTCATTGGCTGGCGTGTCTGACCAACGGGCCACCTATCCCATAGCCTCGGGACCCTCTAAGCAGCTCTGCCAGCGGTCGCTCCCTGGCCTGGCATGCAACATGTACCCACTTCTCAGTCCTAATTAGGCTAATTGTCTCTTTTTATAAGAATGAGGCTTGGAAGGGAAGTGACTTGCCATGACCATGCAGCGTGTTAGTGGTGGCCTTAGGTCTGAAACCCAAGTCTCCTGGGTCCTCCAGGGCCCAGGTCTATTACACCACACCCGTGCGGTGTTCTGGACATCCAGCCTTTCCTGGGCCCTTCTCTTTGCAGCAGGTAAATGACAACTCCTGACCTTTCTTGGGTATTGCTTTGCACACTCCTGATGATTTTTTTCCCCCTCGTGGCCTTCCTGAGCTCTGCGCTGCCCTGTCTAGAGGCACTGTGGCTGGAACTGCCAGGAGTGTTCCAGATGCAGTGGGACCGGGGACCTGGTGTGCCTGCCAGGACTCTCTCTCGGGGCCTCCTTGTTTAACTCCCTGACCCGCCCGCTGGGCTGCGGTTCTGGAAGAAGAGGGAGCTGCGCTTGTGCTTATTCCCTGGTTACTGCCAGCAGCTTAGAGCCCTCAGCTTGTAAGCATTAAACTGACTCTCTACGAGTGTATCACCTTGTTCTTACAGTCAGAGAAATGCTGCTTTCAGTTTTCTACTCAGCCATTCATATATACCTGTGAGATTCTCCTGTGATTTGACCTTGTTGGGTTTATCCAGGAAAGCATAGAAGCTTCCACAGGTGAAGTTGCCTTCTGCCAAATACACTTGCCATCATTTGTCTTTGTGACCTTGGACAGATAGGTCAGTTTGTCTCTGTAGGAATTTATTTCTTCACCTATAAAAATGGAAGGACTACTTGAGTTAGCCTGACTCTGAAATCGATTCTCATTCTAAATAGCGAAATCTTGTGTCTTGTTTTTCTGTATTTTTTATTTTTATGCTTTTAACAACTTTGTTGAGGTATGATTTATTCCAGAAAGTTTACCCCTTTTAAAATTCTACAGTAAGTTCTCCCTTGATGTCATTGATAGGTTCTGTGACCAGTCTCATCTTGAAAGTCACTTAAGTTGTTCTCAGTTTTTCCCAGTTCTTGGTATTCTACTTATCAATGCATTCAATAAGTAGATTCTTATTGATTAATCGATTAATCGTTGATTCTTGTACATGCTCTGATGGGGGATTGAACCTCAACCTTGGCATGTCGGGACGACATTCTAACCAACTGAGCTGCCTCGCCACAGCCTCACAGTCCTTGAAATTTGTTCCCAAGACCCTTCTAGGAATGTGACTGATGCATCTAATGGTGCCTTAAGAATTCCTAGTGAGGACGGGGAGTTTGGTTGTGATGTGCCCCTGCGAATACCTCACAGAGACCGTGACTTTGTTGCGCCATTGGAGGACATAGTGGGTGCCTGATAAATATTTCTGGCATGAGTGACTCTCTATTGCTTGTCTGATCATTTGCTTCACTCTAAGAGGGAGAGCAGCCTGCCCACAGGCGTCCCCACAGGATCCAAAGCCGTGCCG